TACAAGGGTAACTCATGGTCTCTTTGAGTGTAAACACTGTGACACTGAAGTGTCAAATGTGATAAAGGTTGCCTATGGCGGACAGTGTTTGGTGGAGCTCCCAAATTAAAACAGGCTTGGAAGCAGGAGTGGCATCCACCTCTGAAATCGCCTGCCTCTATAAACTTAGAGAAAAGATGAAAGCTTTTCATGTTCAAGACTTTTGTTCATAGGGTCGCTATTAGTCATCTATAACTCAACATCACTTAACAATAACAATTTGAACATAAAAATTATTTTTATTATTATGTACGGTCAAATTGGAACCAACTCATAATGGGTTTTCAGAGGCTATAAACCACGCAGGAGTTAAACGTTCATCTTTATCAAATGGAGCAGCCAGTAAATTTGAACTGACTGCCTTTAGACTGGCAGTGCAACTCTCTACCACTAGGCCACCAGAGCACCCTAAAAATAAAGTAAAATATTTGCATATTCAAATACATTGAAATATGACATAATTTCTTAATGTAAAAGAAATGACAAGTCAGGAATTCGGAAGAAACCTCTTCTTTCCTGATTATTTCCTGGTATGAACATGATTCTAGTTAATTAATGGATCCCACCCAATCTGTTATCACTTCCTTTCATCACTTCAAAAGGCAATGATTTAAATACGTAATGAATCTCTTTTTTTGAAGTCTATACCCACTTCCCAAAAAAACTAGCATCCCTTTATTGCTTTTCTCTTCCTGAAAACAGAAAAAAATACAATCAACTTAATTGTAACTTATTACCCGCTGGGAACTTCAAGTTAATCTCAGTATAACATAGTGACAGCCTTTTTCCTGTGAGTTTTGGCACTGAAGCATGTTATTATACTGAAGATTGGCCTGGAATGATCAGAAAAGTTGGTGTATACAGTTTTCAGTTTAATAAAATATCACAGAAAAATATAACCTTCAATTTACCCAACTTGATTCTTATAAGAAATAATATAGTTAATTCAAAGGATATTTTAAATTCAGTACTTAACAATACTGTCTATACTACAGGTACCAATAGTACCTATACTCAGATTATAAAAATAAAAGATTAAACCTGCACCTTCAAGGGGCTCACAATCTAAATGTGAAGGGAGGACATAATTCCAACTAAAGTAAAACATAATTTATTTTAAATCCTTAACCAAGATGCCTAGGTATCATTCTCACTTTTAAAAAGTCAACAAGACCTCCTGTTTTGAACACACATCATCCACATAACATTGTCAATATTTGTTTACTGATTTTAATATAGAAACTCACATCTATATAGCAAACATGTCACATCTGGGATGCACTCATGGGTTATTCCCAAAAACTCAATGGACATTCGATCAGAGTGGAATACTCAAGGTGTTCCTGGAACATTAGTGCGTGAATATATACTCACTTTAACAGCTTCTTAGTGGCGAATGTTGCCAGGATGGACTGGTCTTTGGAGAAGGATATCATACATGGAAAGATGGAAGACCCTGGATTTCCCCTTCTTCACCTTTAGCCTCCTTGCGCTCTCCCCATTCCCTCTTTGTATATCTATACATATCTCACTGGTTATCCTTCTATTGTAGAACTGTCTTCTTGTTGTTAAGTGCCATCAAGTCACTTGTGAGTCTAAATGTACAATAGTTCTGAACTCTGCTCTGTCTTAAGCCAATTTTATTGTCTTCAACACACCTACCCCCATTTCCTCAATCAGAGTCAATCCATCTTGCCCAAGGTCTTCCTCTCCTGTGCTGTCTGTCCACTCTTCTAAGCATGATGTTCTTTTCCGAGGACTGGTCCTTTCTGGCAACATGCCCACAGTATGTGAGACAGAGCTTCAAAATCCTTGCCTCTAAGGAGCAGAGTGGTTTCATGCTCTCTAGTAAAGACTTCTTTGTTGTCTTAGCAATCCGTAGTATGTTCAATACTCTTCTCCAGCACCACAACTCAAAGGCACTGATGATTCTTCTATAATCTTTACTCATTGCCCAGCTCTCCGATGTATAGCTAGTAACTGTGAAGACCATGACTTGGATCAGGAGCACCTGAGTCTCTAGACTGAAAACACTGCTCTTCAGTATTCTGGGGAGAACACTAACAACTGATTTCCCCAATGTAGTTCATCTTTTGATTTCCTGGCTTCTGGTACCAAGAATGCTGACTGTGGAACCATGTATGCTGAAACTGTTAACAATCTCATGATGCTAGCAATTGGCCCAGTGGTGAGAATCTTTATTTTCTTGATGTTGAGCTTCAGTCCATATTGATGACTGCAGTCCTTAACCTTCTGCAGCAAACACCTCAGGTCCTCCTCAATTTCAGCACGCAAAGTTGTGCCATTTGCATTATGAAGGTAGTTGGTGAGTCTTCCTCCAATTCTGATGTCACATTCCTCCTCATAGAGTCTAACCTCCTGAATGATCTGTTCTGCATAGAGATTGAAATGATATGGAGATAAGATGTACCCCTGGTATACCCTTTCCTGGTCTTGGGCCACGCAGTGTTTCCTCGCTCTGTTCTGGTAACTGCCTCCTGGTCCAAGTATAGGTTTTGTATGAGCACAATCAGGTGTCCTATTCTTCTAGGAGTGCTATTCTCCTTAATTTAGCCACAAATTGTTGTGATCCATACAGCCAAATATTTTGCATGGTTGCTGAAACACAGATAAGACATTCCTTGGGTATTCTCTTTCAGCCAAGATCCATCTAATGGCTATAATGTCCCTACTGCCACGGCCTCTTTTAAACCCAGCCTGCAAATCTGGCAGTTCTCTGATGACGTACTGTTCGAGTTATTTTTGGATAATCTTCAGCAAGATCTTGCTTGTATGTGATAATAATGATACTGTTCTTACACAATATATATTCTTATGTCCCTAACTTAATTCACTCAGCATAATGCTCTGTAGGTTCTCCCATGTAACACAATATTTTTCAAAAAATACATCTTTGCTTTCTTGACTGCTCCTACCTTATGTGGATTCAAGTAAAATAAAATCCTTACCAATTTCAACCTTTTCTCTAACTAAACCCTGCTTGCTGAAACTGAGGAAGACCTCACGCACTTGCTGC